CTTTAAGACAAATGAAGAAAATTCACTGAGAAACTCTTCTCCTTTTGTGAAAAACAAGGAAATATCTGCACACTGAATAGTTTTAAGTCCCTTAGGAGGTATTATTTATTTGTGACGTTGTGACATATGAGAAGGTTCTGTGGGTATTGCTCGGTATTGAGGCTTATATAGTGAGGCTAAAAAAAACAACAACACATAATTGGCTGATTATCTTTCTGTTTGCCTCACTATAAAAACGTCACAATACCTTTGCCTGAGGAAGACCCTCTCAGAGTTGGCAACATAGCGAACAAGTGATACCTCCTTGGGGGCTTCAAAACTATTGTGTCCAGCTAATTCTTTGTTTTTCACTTTGAGCCCTTTTATCCAGTCACATTCTTCTGTGTTAAAACTAGACTTCTAACAGAGCAGCAAACAAAGGTTACTCTCCAAAATCTTCTCAGGCTCTGCTGCTGGGTGTAAGGTGCTTAGTTATCTTCAAGTACAAAGTTAAAATAATCAGGCCCACACAGAAATGGACTGCTTAATTTTTTGTCAGTGACAATGTTAAACATTAATGCTTAATGTTTTATCTGTAGTGTATGATTTGTTTGCCCTTTCAATTGACAGTCAGATTTGATTGTGAAATACAACATTCAGTCAGTAACAAAGACAAAAGGAGTGCAAATATAAATAGAATTTATTGAAATTTTAAACAAGTTATAGATGAATATCAAAAACTCAACATTAGCCATGACAGCCTGGGCTATGTTCAGGCCTAACAAAATGTGTCCTAAAGCCCAAATTCAAAAGCAGTGACACTGCCAACTGTAAGCAGTTCACTGTGTTTGGAGGTGGTCTTTAAGACAATTAACTAATTTACTTAAAAACATATAATTTCTAACTGTAAACACATTTCCTGGCCTTATCAATCTTTGCTGGATTGCCACCAGCCTCCCACCTGTACCTTTGGGCCAATGAAGAAAATATTATCTTAATGCCAGGATGCTGGAGGTGAAGCTGGTGCAGGTCCTCCTTCATCATGCTGACCAGCTTGACACTGCTGACCTTCCACATGTCAATGCAGCCACAGTGGATGATGAGGACATCTGGTGCTGCTCTTCCTCGCAGGGAGTGGGAAAAGAAGGAGAGAAGGCCTACCCACTGCAGTCCACCCCAGCCAAACCAGCAGACATGGACGCCCGGCATACTGAGGGTGATTCCCAAGGTCTCTGCAGCTCTCTGGACACCACGCTGGACATAGCTGTCACCAATGCTCCACACTGTGCATATTAAAGTAAAATGAGTGTAATAAAAAAATTAGCGTTATATATTTAAAAAAAAAGTTGAAGTGTTTTTTTTAAGATAACAGCTGAATCGTTGTTTCAAGGTTTGTTGTATAACGTTAGTTTCAGCTAAACTCAACTTACCTCAAGTTTCGTGAGGGAGCTGGCAGGGCTAGCCAAAGTAGCGTAGCTTCTTAGCCTCGTAGCTTCTTTGCCTAGCTTGTTAGCCTTAGCTAACTTAGCAGCGCCGAGCGAGGTGGGCGTGTTTAAGCAACCAGGCTTCCTTCGGCCTTCCTCTTTGCCCATTTTTGATTATCCGGGAGTTGGGCGGAGTCAGGCACTGCCAAGATGGCGACGTCCAGAGCGGAGTATTTTGAGCTTCAAATGCACTCTTCAGAAACGGATGGATGACGTCACCGTGACTACGTCCATTATTTTATACAGTCTATGTTCCACACCCCTCTCAGTTGATGCCACGCCCCCCACGCCACATCAGGGTCAAAAGTCTGAAACTCAAAAAACAGATTTAAAACTGAAAAAAAAAAGATCTGAAAGTGAAAAAAAGATTTGAAACTGTAAAAAATAAGATCTGAATCTGAAAAGATAAAACATGCAACTGAAAAAATAAGACCTCAAATGTTAAAATATATATGGAAGTGAAAAGTGAAAATAAATTATTCATTCAAAAGAATTACCGAAGTGAATCAAAATTATTTTTAACCTGAAAAAACGTTTCATATACTTATTTTTATTTTGAATACATTGTTGTATTTTTTAAAATTCAAGATCAACACATGAATTTTCAGTTTTAAATTTTATTTTTTCAAGTACAAAACATTTGACCCTAATGTAGCTCCATAATTTTAGGGATATACCATAATGTACTGAAATGTTTTCTTCGAATTTCTTAATCCTGATACTAAGTGACAGTGAGAGGACTGTGAGCTAAGGAGGTAAACGCCTTCTGGAGACAAACTACTGACACTGACACCTGCTCACTGTCAGGGCACACATGAGACAGACAGGATCAGTGGTGGACTCAAAAAAATCTACATGACCTGAAACACAATGCATCATTAATAACATGTTGAATAAAACACCACACTGGTAACTAGCCCATATGGGTTAAGTCTGCATTCTATGCTTAATATGCTTTTTCTTTAATATTCTTTAGTTCTGACCGAGCCAGCAGCTGAGCTTGTTGCAGATTCAGATATCTTCCATTATTCAACTGCAAAATTATTTCCACGGAAGTTTTAGATTTGCGTTTCGTACAATTAATATGCGCGTGCACATACCCAGGGCAGACCTCACTGCTGAAACGTTCCCGCGTATTGTGAAAATGTAAAATAATTTAAAAAGTAAATGTCCATCAATAATCAGCAATCATTAGGCGGACGGAGGGTGGTGTTGTCTCGAAGACTGTTTCCCCGTCGATATGTTTCCACTTACCTGAATCTGAACCTAACCCTTAGCCCTAATCCAAACCACCGAGGAGGGCGCTCGCATTAAAATAGTTCAGGAAACACCATCCGACGGGGAGCACATTTTACTACAACACCAGAAATCTGACGGACACGCTAAGACATAGCGGAACCAAGCGTGAGCGCAGCAAACATAACCGGACAATTTATACTGGCGCACTCCAGTAGCCTCCATGACAGCTAATAGTTGACAACAACACCAAGGTAAACAGATTTTTCTTTCTGGCAGTGCACGTTTCTACACATATCTCTAGTCACTTCGAGTCATTCTAGTCATGGACGGCTGTCTGTCTTTAATGTTCAAACAGCGGCCAGAGCAGCAGAGGAGGCAGCGAGCAGTTCATTCCACCGATGTGATGATGTGATCATACATGAGACAACTGTCACCGTTAATACATAGCATGCGCTCCTAAACTACAAGAAAATATATTTCCAGTTGCATCTGTTTTTTTCTTTTCTTTTTTATTTTTTTGCTTAAATGTGTACCAATACACCGAAGCAAGTGTCCAATAATCCAATATTCTTATAGGTTTATTTGAATAATGGTGTCATGGGTGAAGAAAAAACAAAGCAAAACAAAACAAAACAAAAGAGCTAACGTCAGCAACTAGCCTTATTCTTTCGAAAGTTTGAATGGGGTACATGAATGTCTGCTGGGTTTAACGAAGCTAACCACCTAATGTTAACATTGTCAATGACCAAATGATTAGGCTAAGTGACCGTTTTTTATTTATGAGGAAGGAGGGGGCTGTGCAAAATGGGGGAGGCACTTTGAATATTTCTTTAACACTGGAGAGAGAATCATGTCTTTTGGTATGGCTTGTGGGAGGAACATTCAACTTTAAATGACAGTATTTTGTATTTATTTAAAATATCCTTAGAGCCCCAGAACCCACAAGTGGGTTTGAAAGGCAGGTTTTCTTTAAAAATCTCTAAAATTACATCATTTATCATCGTCAGACATTGTGAAATAGTTACTGATGGTGGAGGAAGGGTCTTACATTTTCTTCCAGTCACTCAGAGAGGCTTAATGAAAATATTTGTAGCTTTGGGGAAGGTCATGATATTAAAAATAATATTAATGAGAATTTAAAAAATAGATTAAAAAAAAACATGAAGTCATACCCCAGCCGCCCTCCTACTGTGATAAGTAAAGTACAGTCACTAAGTCACTTTCTTTGTGTTTTCCACCAAACCTCTGTGGAGGCTGAAGAGAGCATTTGGAAAACACTTTATGAACTGATTGGATTAACTACATAAAATGGTAATAATAATAATAATAATGATAATAATAATAATAATAATAATAATGATAAAAATGTATTTGATATAGCGCCTTTCACAGAAATGAAATTCACAAAGTGCTTCACAAAATACAATCAAGCAATCAAACAATGAAACATGCAGACAATAAAAATGAAGGCAATATAACAAATGAAGCAAGGCACTAAAAAGAAAGTAAAACATAGAGCAAATACAGGCTACTGATGCCCCCAAACACAAACATACCAGGGAATAAGCACTAGACAATTTAGGGTGGAACAAAGGCCATTTTCAAGAGATGGGTCTTAAGTTGTTTTTTGAAAATTTCTAAAGAGACCGCATACCGTAAACCTAATGGAAGAGAATTCTATAGTGTTGGAGCCACTACTTCAAAGGCTTGATCGCCAGTAGGTCATTTTTTCAAGATCTAAGGGACCTACTGACAATATATGGATGGAGGAGATCACTGATGTATTCAGGTGTCTGACCGTGGGGAGCTCTATACATAAGAACAAGTATCTTGAAGTGAGTCGTGAATCTGATGGGAAGCCAGTGTAAAGAAGCTAAAATGGGAGTGATGTGGGTTGACCTGCTGGACCTGGTTAACAACCCAGCAGCAGTGTCCTGGATTATACTATTAACAATAGTATTTGAAATATTTTTAGACCTGCTTTTTCGCTACCCCCAGACCTTGCCAGAATGGCAGAATTTCTGTATTTTAACAGGCCCTGTTAACTGTGACATGCTGATGTAAATGAGAAACACTAACATGCAGTTAGTGCAAACTCAGCAGGCAAGGTCCCTCTCTGTGCCCTGTGCACGAGCCCACTTTTCCTACTTTGGTGTGGAGAAAGTTGACTGGCCTGCGCAGAGCCCTGACTTTAACCCCTCACACTCAGTCAGCTCAGTGTTTTCCTACAAAAGTGATGACAGACAACTAACAGACAACATTTTTGAAATGTCTGCTGGTAATCTCTATTTTTAGTTGATGTTGGCCTCTCTGTCCACGATGATGTCGCATGGCTTCAAGAGCAGTAAGCAGGACTTCACCTTTGGACCATGGAAAGTGACTGCTGCCAGAAACCACATCATGAAATCCAGAGACATTGAACGGTGAGATGTTCCTCAGACAGTAGGTAGCAGATAGGGCTGGGTAGTATATCCATATGATACGGATATCATAAGGCTGGGTGATATGGCTTAAAAATAATATTGCAGTATTTTAGGTTATATTATGATACACAATATGTATCACATTTTTTTGAAATCTCTTACGTAGTGCAGACTACTAAAATAATTTTTTTTTAATGAACTACAGTTAAAATAAAGTTAGATAAAGTAGCTACTGTCATAATAAGGCTAAATAAAGTATTGTTGTAATAAAGTTAAATAAAAATACTGTTACAGTAAAGTTAAATCAGAGCAGTTGGTTCAAAACAGAACCACTGGTGCTTTTATTTTGAAGCACCCAGCTCATCTCAGGCAAGGAAAATGTAAAAGAATGAATCATCATGATGACAGTGACAGCACTGAAGGAGCCAGACTTTGGTATCAGTACTAGTAGTATGATTAGTAGTAGTGTGATTTGATCAGTAGTATCAAATCACACTATAACTCATCATATCTTTGTTATTTCAACTTTGACTGAAAAATCCTTCCACCAGATTAAAAAACACACATTACGTGATGTTGACTGACGTTTTTTATGTAAACATGTGCGTTTGTGTTCCTTGTTTTTGGTCTCCAAACAGATCATAGCTCTGTCCAGCAGAGGCTGAGATGCAGCTGCTGCAGTTTAAAGTATGATTTTCAGTGCTCGTCCCATTGACTCCAGTATAACTGGCGGAAACCAAAGTCTGGCTCCATGAACACTGTCACTGTCATCATGACTGTTCCTTCTTTTATATTTTCCTTGGTTTTAACTGTTGCTGCTGCACCTTTAAACTTGAGAATTTATTTACTGTAAGATGGAAACAAGTTGACAGCTCTCCAGTTCATATATTAATAATAATTGCAAGTCGCAGTGGTGCTCAATGGTCACAAAATGTGACTAAATACAGTAGCTGTCTGGAGCATTGCAGATGAGAATCACACCTCGCCTCCTCACACACTTGCTCAGGAGAAGGTGATCTGGATGGTTGGAGGAGTGTGTGTGACGTATCATGCTTGTGAGTCTTTCCGTGTGTGGGTGCGCACCATGCATATGCCTGCGGTGTGCCAAGTAGGTGGAGTCTGCATACCATCTGAGGGGTATCATAGCCAGCAGGCTAAATTAGAGCAGCGAGAGCAGCGTCTATGTCACCATGACCACATGGCTTATACAAACACAATCAAATCCAGGAATATTGATAAAACAGAGAACTGATTCATTTCATTCAGACTTACAGAAAAGCATACTGTAAACATTGCTGTCCATGCAGGCACTTATTTTTCAATTGATTTTGCCCTGAAGGCAGACATTGTTTGTTTCGTCAACTGACAATTTGGTCAAAAACATTTTCATATTTGATTTTCTCCATGTCATCCATCCCTAGTTAGCAGATATGTATATGTCTCCTACCTTTTACTTGTTAAAATCTGTTGGGAGCTCCAGTTGGTTCAGCTTTTACTCAGGTTATGCAATCCAACACAGCAGATCATTATTTTTTATTCTAGTCTAAGTTTGCATAAAATTATTTTCTGATATGCAGTTGTGCAGCCAAAATCATGGTGACTTTATCAAAGTACTGCATAGGTCAATTTTAGCAAACCTGTACCCCTTTACACCTACAGAGCTCAGTACTGGTCTTGTGTCGAATTCTGTTTCCTGTATAGTGTTTCCCCTGGTGGAGAACAGGTTGGGCCAGTCTTGACAGCATGCTTATAGACATATGGAACACTTGGCAAAATTATGTTTGAGAGGCCGCTGAACTGAAGGTAGGGGGGTGAGCTCCAACAGCCATTGGTTTAGAATTGCTGATCTGACACCAAATATTTGTAAAATAATTACATATGGCAGTACAAACCAAAGCAGCCCGTGAGCCATAATGCATAAAAAGCACCCTGCACATGTCCAGACCAATCATTTTACATACATTATTGAGAGAAGATAAAATCTGCCGCACTGACCAGGGCAGAGTACACTCACACATTAAAAAACTAACATCGAGAAGTGTCATGAGTAGGTAGCATTTTATTTTTTTGTCTTTCTAGGTTAGCCGAGGAGATGAACATGCCCTCTCTCCCAGAGATGCTGTTTGGGGACAACCTCCTGCGCATCCAACACACAGATGGTTACGGCATAGAATTCAACGCCATTGATGCCCTTAAGAGAGTCAACAACATGGAGGATGCTGTCAAGGTGGCCTGTGCTCAGGAGTGGCAGGAGAGCAGGCAAGATGAGCATCACAGTGTGTTACCGTAGCTGGAGGATTGTTTTCTTTTTGATTTGTCAAAACTGTCATGTGTTTCAGAGCAGTATCTTTGCAACATGTGGCTTTATTAGCAATAATTTTTAAACCTCAGAGTTCACCTCCTGCAGAATGAATTGCATACTGTCCACAGACAACTGAATCATGCATTTGAGATGTTGCTGCTGATTTGGCGGTCAAAGAGAACATACAGTAATCTGTGGCCAGGGGCACTGCCAGGGATTTTGGCCGTCATGAAAAATATCACATTGGGCCCCACCACCTCAGGTCATGCGAACCCTGCACAGTTGCTGTAACACACACTTCCAGAACCCAATCAACCCATTCAAGCTTTGCAACTCTCTTGTCGTCCAGCACATTCTGTATGATATTTACTGAGAGGGAGCTGTGGAAATATAACACTGTGCAGACATGTATGCACCATATACAATACAATTTGTTATAACCACTGGTAGAATGTAACTATGTACATGTACTCAAGTACAATATTGACATACTCGTGCTTTGAGTATTTCCATTACATGCTACTTTAAACTACTCCACTACATTTCAGGAGGAAATATTGTACTTTCACTCAACATTAATTTGATACTTATTGTTACTAGTTACTTTTAAAATAAAATCTTGTACTTGGGATAAAGTACTTTTAGACTATATTATTGCTACTTAAATAAATAATCTGAGTACCTATTCTGTCACTAACAACATACCAGTTGTTTTTAATCTCAAAAGTTATTGAATGTACAGTAGCCTCCCAACTTATAGATCATCTATCAAAAAATAACCTCCTTGAGCCTTTCCAGTCTGGTTTCTGTCCCAATCACAGCACAGAGACAGCTCTCAATCAAATAACAAATGACCTTCTTCTAGCAGCGGATTCTGGCCTTCTCGCCATCCTTATACACCTGCCACCTTCGACACAATATCACACACCATCCTCTCAGATCGTCTGGCTGCCACTGGGGCCTCTGGCATTCCTCTTCAGTTATTCCATTTATACCTGTCTGACTGTTCTCAGTTCATCCAAGGGCAAAATACCAAATTTTATTTTAAATTTTATATGTGTCTCTTGTGTTGTTGTATTTTATGTTTCATTTCCACCACTCACGGTATCCAGATTTTTCCTTCTGAAGCTGAGACATGGTGCTCAGCTCCACTGACACCCCACATTCCACTCTAGCAGTATAGTTTGCGTTTATGCCAGGTTTTGGAGCAGGACCAAAATACATAATGCAAATAGGAGGGAAATACAGAGGCTCTCTGGATGTTTACTTTTTGCAAAGAACAAGAAAAGAAAAACATTGTTTTAAGATGTTATTAGTAGGGCTCCCACAGTCATAGAAAGCCTGGAAAAGTTAAATTATTTCACAATGTCATTGTCCAGGCCAGGGAAAGTCATAGAATTTGTTAAATCCTTGAAAGTTGTCATGAATCTTGTTATGTGTAATGAAATTAATTGTTACAGTAATCTTCTGTGGATAACATTCCACATAATGTAAAATAATGGCAAATTTATTTTCTGTAGCTGTTTATGTAATGTAGCTCTAATGCATCGATGCATGACAACGTTTTGTTTACCATCACATATGTTTCTTTATTATCCCCCTGAATTCTGTCTCTCTCTGTCTTTAGCTGGAATTATGTTTGAATAGATTTTGAATGTGATATGTTTGAATAAAACTGCTTTTAAATTGTATGGCATTTCTGAGATGGAGCAATGTCCGTCTTTTACATCATGAATGGTCATGGAAATTTAATTTTTGGTCCTTGAAAAGTCATGGGAAAGTTCTGAAATTTTGTCCATGGAAATGTGTGGAAACCCTGCATTAGTACATTGTAAATATGCTTGTCCATTAATAATGACAGGTGAATACTTTTCTAATGAATTAAAAATAAGTTAATGTTCTAATATGTTTTCTGGGCCCCTGTCAGTCAGGGGCCCTTAGAATCATCCTGACTTCTCTCCCCTGCTGTCTGTGGCCTTTTCACCTGTTGACATGTTCTCAAAACCCTGTTGGGAATTTCCAAGCAGTAATGCATACAGTGCTGCACTCACTCTCTCTTTGTTTCTTTGTACCCGGTCAGGCCCCATAAGGCACAAAGGTGTTCTACTGCATTCAAAAGAAAAAACTGAGGAACTCCTGCTGTATTAAATGTTCTCCGCTCATCCTCATATTTGCCCTCACCTGCAATTGTGTGTCCATGCTTTGATATTTAAGTGACTCCAGTTACTGTAATGGTCACTGGAAGAAATGCTACAGAATACCATGGAAATGAGTTTATCTTAAGTTTGGTAGCAGTGTGTGATTTGTCCTCTGTGAGGTGTGCAGTTTGGTTTCATTAATGAGAGTGATTGGCTCTCATATTAGAGCAGTGATTTACATGTATGATGTAAAGGAAATGTAGATTTAAAAATAAATAATAAAAGACAGGAGAATATGAATATGGTAGCCACATGTGTCTCTCAAGCTGTGGGCTGGCCACCCCGACTGTGAGACAACAGGACATCACAGATACCACAGGCAGGGACACTGTTACAACAATAAAAAGAAGGGAAAGAACTCCCTTTTGAAAATAACTGAGTTCTGCAGTGGAAAAACATATATCAGATTTATAAAGGTGTTCATTCCCAGAGACACTAAGAATTTCACCTGCGCTGTTAACACAAATCTCTGCAATCTCCTTCCAGAGCTGATTCTGAACACTCCAAAGAGGTGGTGAGACCCTATGACTGGACATACACCACAGACTACAAGGGCACTCTCATAGGAGAAAGTATGCAAATGAAGGTGGGTCATTTTCACAAAATAGAGCACTCAAAGCACTTTTACAGTACGTGTCGCATTCACCCATTCATAGTCATATTTACACAGTGGTGGCCGAGGTGACCATACAAAGTGCCACCTTCTACTCAGTTAAACATTAATACACCCTCACACACTGATGGCACAAACATCAGGAGCAATTTGGGGTTCTTTGGGGTATCTTGCCCAAGGATATTTCAACATGTGGACTGGAAGAGCCAGGGATCTTCTGATTAGTGGACGACCTTCCCTACCTCCTCAGCCACAGCTGCCTTTTTGTTATGTGCGTGTGATGTGTGTCCAGCTTTTCTTCCTGTTCATTAAAGGTGACAAAGACATTGGAACGTATTGACATGGAGAAGCTGAAGGCTAGAGAACAGATCATGTTCTTTGATGAGGTGCTGTTGTTCGAGGACGAGCTGCATGACCACGGTGTCTCAATGATCAACGTCAAAATAGTGAGTACTGCGTTGATGTCAAACAGCTGATGCTATTGATCCGAACGAGGACTAGATTTACCAACATTTAAAGAGGAAGATTGAGCTTTTCATTGGTTTTTAAGCCACGGTCTGTGTAATCGGGGCCTAATTCATTGAGGCAGCAGCTCATTTTTTTTACCTTTCATTTATTCAGGGAAGTTTATCTGAGAGCCCGGCTCTCTTTTCAGGAACCACACTTGCACATTGACACCTACAGTTGTGTTCAAAATAATAGCAGTCCAACATCACTAACTAGATCAATCACTGTTTTTGGTAGAAATTATATTCCTACATGACAAATAATTTACTAGTAGGTGTAGTAGAGCAATAGAAAACCAACAGGCCCAACAGTCATGACATGCATGCTGCTGATTCTGTGTAATTGAATTATTAATTGAAAGGGGCGTGTTCAAAATAATAGCAGTGTTGAGTTCAATTAGTGAGGTCATTCATTCTGTGAAAAAACAGGTGTCAAAAAGGTGGCCCTTATTTAAGGATGAAGGCAGCAAATGTTGTACATCCTGGTTATAGTGCATTTCTTTTATGAAAATCTGAGTAAAATGGGTCTTTCCAGACATTGTTCAGAAGAACAGTGTACTTTGATTAAAAAGTTGATTGGAGTGGGGAAAACATATAAAGAAGTACTGGAAACGATAGGCTGCTCAGTTAAAATGATCTCAAATGCTTTAAAATAGCAACCAAAATCAGAAAGACGTGGAAGAAAATGGAAAACTACCATTGGAATGGATCGAAGAATAGTCAAAATGGCAAAGACTCAACCAATGATCAGCTCCAGGGAGATCAAAGAAGGTCCAAAGTTACCTGTGAGTACTGTAGCAATTAGAGGACGCCTATGTGAAGACAAGCGATTGGCAAGAAGCCATTGTTGCAAACATGACATGCTGAAGAGGTTACAATTTGCCAAAGAACACGTTGACTGGCCTAAAGAGAAATGGTGCAACATTTTGTGGACTGATGAAGGCAACATTGTTCTTTCTGGGTCTACGGGCCGCAGACAGTTGTAAGAGGACCCCCAAACACTGAATTCACTGTGAAGACAGTGAAGCATGGTGTTGCAAGCATCATGATATGGGAATGTTTCTTATACCATGGCGTCGGGCCTATTTATTGCATACCAGGGATCATGGACCAGTTTGAATACGTCAGAGTACTTGAAGAGGTCATGTTGCCTTATGACAGAAGAGGATATTCCCTTGAAATGGGTGTTTCAACAAGACAACGATCTCAAACACACCAGTAAGCGAGCAGCATCATGGTTCCAGACCAACAAGACTAACGTTATGGAGTGGCCAGCCCAATCCCCAGACCTCAATCTAATAGAAAACTTGTGGGATGACATCAAAAATGCTGTTTCTGAGGCAAAACCAAGGAATTCAGAGGAATTGTGGAATGTCGACCAATCGTCCTGGTCTGGAATACCTGTTCACAGGTGCCAGAAGTTGGTCTACTCCATGCAACACAGATGTGAAGCAGCTCTCAGAAAAATTGGTTATACAACTAAATATTAGTTCAGTGATTCACAGGAAAGCTAAATCTTCATGCATTTTTCAGTTTATACAGTAAATGTTTGCGTTTGTAAAGAAAAATGCAGACACTGCTATTTTTTTGAACAGCGTAATATTCCCTTTTCTTCACTTTCTTTAAAGTACAGATCTGATAATTTTTTCTTGATGTTTTGATTTGGAATAGAATGTGCAGTGTTCCCAATGCATTTGCATGTTTGGAAATAAAAGCTATTATAAGGATTTTTCAGCTTTACTCACTTTTTTAATCACACTGCTATTATTTTGAACACAACTGTACATTCAGCTCAGTGGACACGTTGGATTCATTAAGATCACCAAGCTCAGAAAAGAACTGATACTGTAGTCTTCCTAACTAATCCCAAAACTTGTTTGTATGCCTCTGCTCTGACTATAGCCGAGGTCGGAGGCATTATGTTTTTGTGTTGTTCATCCGGCCATCTGTCCGTCCATCTGTACGTCCATCCGTCCGCCCGCCCACCCGTCCCATTCTTGTGAACGTGATATCTCGAGCGGCTTGAGGGAGTTTTTTCAAATTTTGCATGAACATTCAGTTGGACTCAACAATTATCTGATTAGTTTTTGGTGGTCAACGGTCAAGGTCTATGTAACCTCATCTGTCTCATTCTTGTGAATGGAATATCTCAAGAATACCATGAGGAAGTTTAATCAGGTTTGGCACAAATGTCCCCTTGGATTTAATGATGAACTGATTTGTGTTTTGGTGGTCAAAGCTCTGCAGTGTAACATGTTTGTGTGTGTCTTGATGATGCAGAGGGTGATGCCCACCAGTTTCTTCCTGTTGATGCGTTTCTTCCTACGAGTGGATGGAGTGCTGATTAGAATAAATGACACACGTCTGTATCATGAGGCAAGTTGGTTTCCTTGTATCATACATGGTTTTATAGAGTAAGTCACAGAATTTAAATGTGGCTGAAGTTATTCAAAATGTCTGTGATAAAGGCTCTAATACGTAATGAATGGTGATGCTGTTTTTGATTCCAGGCTGGAAAGAATTACATGCTGCGAGAGTTCAGCACAAGGGAAAGCAAGATAGCAGAACTAAAGGTGAGCTATGGCACCTCATGCACTGATAACAAGCTCCGAGACACAGCTGCAGAGCAGGAATCTGCAGTGGTCTGCTCCTGGTTCCCAAGAAACATTTCCAAAGAAATTGTGTTTTGAGCAGGGAAATAGATTGACCGTAACTTCCCTAAAGATAGTACTGTCCACTGTCCACAAAAGCTTGTGTCAGGCATTCTGACACATCTCACAATGTCCAGTGGAGAGAGTTGTTGGCATGGAGCCGGCTGTATAAGTATGGAACTTGGTCATTTGACTGTGTATGCGGGGAGATGGTAACCCCTGGTCAAATATAGTCTCTGGTGTTAGATATGAATGTCCTTGATCCTCAGACAGTGTTCTGATATTTATCAGCCAAATCTGAGGCACTTCTTAAGGCTATAGTTTTAAGCAATAGACCAGTCTGAAGAGCTACAAGTATATTGATTGGAACAGGAAACCTTATATTACTAGGGAGCATCGTGCACACAGAATGGTGTGGAGGTCACAGCTGTGATTAAATAAGAGATTTCTTTTGTAGGATATCATCAGTTGCTTTTAAGCAAACTTCACCTCTGCCAGCCATGTAGCCAGTCTAAATATAATAAATCAAGCTATCAGTTCTACACTGAGGGTTTCTCAGGCTGGACATGTGACCAAACAAGTGGACTCCAAACCCACACTAGCTTTATACTGTACCCAGCAGACTGTCCAGTCACCTGCAGCCTGCTGAGCGTTAAATGCCAAAGGTCAGATTTGTCTTAAACATGTGATAACTGATGTTTTTGGGCCAATCTGGGGCAGCTGGAATAAGTTGTTAAAACAACACTGGCACACCATCACCTTTTACAGGGGAACTGTGTAAGATTTAGGGGGATTGGGTGCCGTCTAACTTTAGCGGTGAAGTGCAGATTGTAATCAGCTAAAACTTCTCCCACTTAAAATTCCTTCGGTGTTCATTGTTCAGGAGGTTTTTACCGGGACCCAGATTATCCACAGAGGTCTCTTACTCTTCAGAACAAACAGACCAGGTGATTTAAACCAGTAAAAACACTGAATAGAGCCATTTCGTGTTACAAATCTGTGTAACTCTGTCACTGGTTTGGCTTCTAACTACAGTGGCCAGCGCGAAAGTGTGAATGGCCCTATCTGGAGCCAATGTTTGGTTTGTCCATTCTGGGCTGCTGCAGAAACATGGCATATATACACACATATATACAGAAACATGGCATATATACACACACACACACACACATATATATATATATATATATATATATATATATATATACACACACACACACATATATGT